GAACATATAATTATGCATGGGCGGATACAGCTTTTTTAAAAAGGGGGGGGGGGGGGGGGGGTGCACATTTAAGATCTATTTATTGTCTTTGGTGGTAATTTATACAGAAATAAAGATTTTTTTCGAAATAAAAAAAAAAGGGGGGGGGGGGGGGGGGGTAGGTGCGCGTCGCCCCTCTGTATCCGCCCATGTTATGTAAACGAATAATCGCTGTGGCTGTAACGATTCGCATATGATATGATGTTATATTCGATACAAAACAGGGCACCAGGCCAGGAATAGCGTTTCTCTGTCACTGTCTCTGTGTCTCTGTCTGTGAATGAAGCATATTATTTACTGTAAGAATACACCATGTACCTAAAACATATTCTAACTTCTGTTTATGTTTTTACATCTATGTCGTTGGTGTTTTCTACTTAACCAACTACACAGTTATAATTATATTTCAACCGCATTACGACGGAAAGGCCAAGGATGGTTTTCACAAATTGTAACCAATTTGGGTACAAGACCCGGATTTTCGTCACAGGAGCGAACGTTTTAATATGGTTTCTCCATACAACACCAGTGAGGTAAACAAGAGAAAACAGTTTCGTTGCCGTCATAACGGCTTCCTCAACACAATTTTGCAATGTTAATATATCATTTCTAAATTCAGCCCGTACGAACAAGTGGTATATCATTTATCAGGGTTTTTTTTAGATAATGAACGAATGAATGAATGAGTATGTTTTTTACGCCTCTTTTAGCACTATTCCAGCAGTTTCACGGCGGGGGACACCAGAAATAGGCTTCACACATTGTACCCATGTCGGATTCGAACCCGCGCGTGCACACTATACACACACCGAATTATTTTTATCAATAAATTTTCACAAGGAGAATTCTGTCCAACGCCTCCACACATTGGCCACAACATATGCATACATACAGAGTATTTGCTGCGAAATGACCGTTTAACCATTCATTGCAGCACTATCTTGTCCAGCTCCGCCATGAAAGGTGTAGTAATATCAATACATGCTGTTTTCTTTGTGAAAACGGAAAACTGTTGGTTTCAATATCAATAAAACTTAGTATTAATTGCAATAAAAACGAGTTTACCTCCGCCGATTCAGCAGTCTTACTCCGACGAGGGTAGTTGTTTGAACAGCTGTAGTACCAGTGTCTAAATAGGGAGGGGTGCGGTTAGGTGTCACTTTTTCCTTCGGAATTTTTATCAACAAATCTTCACAAGGTAAGACCCCTGCACCCATTGACCGACATTTACATGCATAGAAAGAAACAACGAATTTAGATTCAATATATATGGCAATTGGTTTGTTTGGAATTTTGTTTTTTCAAAGATTAATCTAAAATATTTGCTGTATATTATAATGAAACTTCACATTGCCGGAAAAAAACATTAATCCGTGCATTAAATGGCCTGAAGAGTAAAGCTAGATTGTTTTTATATTTTGACCTATAGAGCTCGAACAGATGTTTGTTAGTGATGGTGATATAAAGATGAGTGTCAAGGTCATCGGTTGTTTTGCAGCTTGGACATGATCACTGTTGTGTTTAGTTCTGCAATGGCTCTGAGAATTCTTGAACTTATTTTGTCTAAACGGGTGGAGAGATGTGTCAATTAGTAATACTTTTAGTGTGAAGGGATTTATGTCCATATAGATTTACAATTTGGAATATAGAGTTTGAAATTTTGTTCAATTAAGTGTTAAACACTTAAAAAAATATTTGAAACTTACCAAGAAAATTGAAGATTGCTGGAGGTATCCGGATGCAAATGTTCTTCATGACTTGTGTCTAGTAAATAATGTTAGCCTGGGCATATCAGATAGCTGTAGTAATATTCTGTTTTATTTTAGTTGTAAATATACTCTTAAAACTGAGATCTCTGGGCATGATCTTTTGGAGAAAATATTTTTTCAATTTCATATATATTTCTTTTCTTATTGTTAAGGTATTAAATGAACAACTATCAGTCCTGGTATGATGATATCCATAAATATCCTTTTCATATTCCCAGTTTGTTCTAGCCTAGTGGTTGAAGTGTTCGATTCGCCACATGGGTACAATGTGTTAAGACTATTGCTTGGTGTCACCCATCATAATATTGTTGGAATATTGCTAAAAGTGGCATAACACCATACTCACTCTGACAAAAAAAAGTCATTGGCTATGTGCTCACTTGGGCCTTTGTTCCTGGTGAGATTAAAAGATTACATGTATTTTGGAACGGTAGCAGTACTTGTTACATCTAGACAGACGAGTTTCATTGAAGTTCGAAACAGAATATAATTCCCCCAAAAAAGGTGCATAAGACTTATGGCATCCACAGAAAACACCTTAATAGAGTACCGGTACATACAAATACAGTGAGCTGTATTAATTTTAAGAAAACATTCAGGGCATTAGTATAGTTGATATAAGATCAGCACCTATGGTATGGCTAATTAAATTTATATTTCTTTATGCTAAAGAAGCAAAACAAAGAATTTAAAAAAGAAAATCATATTTATTGATTTTATGACATTGCACTGGTACAGTAACCAGGTGTTTATAAGAACTTGTAAAAACAGAAACAGGAGCTTCAATACCAATTCTAAACATACAAATTAGTCAAATCTCAGAAGAATATCAAGGAAGAAGAATATCTAAAGTCAATTATGTTTGTGTAGTAAACCACAAAAAACATTCAGATTTGTATAGTCAGCGTCAGTGTACACCACATAAACATAGTCACACTGCTGTGGTATTAATTCCTTCAGACTTGATTAGTGTCATAATAAAACCACCCACAGAATCACACTGATGTGACATTATTCATTCCGAATCATCACTTTCTGAGGTGAATCTGTTGGTTGTTCTTGGGAGGATTATTCATCATCCAGTGAGTCCCTTGTCTGACATGTCTTAGCAGGATCTTCTTAAATGTAGCTCATGTCACTGTGAAATGCAGCTACCTGAAACAATATATAACATCTTAGGAAACTTGTTATTCCAAAAAGGAAACACACATATATTGACAAAGGGTAAAAAGTTGTTTTCTCGAACAGTAAGGTAATGACAATTTATCAAGCAACTGATATTTAACAATGTTAACCAACCGTATAAATCTCCAGTAATGTCATCCTATTGTTCTCTGGTCATGTTAAATCTCATAAACAGGGGCACTGTAATGTCCTTGGGATTTTATATAATATCCCCTGGATTTTATAAGATAATTAAGTCATGTTTGCTATATAATGTGTAGAATATGGATTTTATATAATGTCCTGGGTATTTTATTTAGACAACATCGGTTCAGATTCTAACATGTAATAAAATGTAAAATCAAATGACAAATATTTTCTTTATAATCCCGAGGATCGAACTCGCAACCTTCGTATCTGTAGCCCAGTGAGTGTACTACAAAGTGTCAGAGGCGCTGATAAATCACAATGTTTTTAGAATGTCCTTTTCAAGATCTGTATGCCACAACAGATATTTTACGTCTGTTTCCTAATGTTCATGGAAAGTATGTTCATAAAAATGTTGATAAATGTTGTTTTAAGTTTCTTTTTGCAGTTCATAAGTTAGATAAGACACTTTCCCTCGGTTGTTAGCGATATTTAAAACCCTTTCCCTTGGAAAATCCCTCGGGATGCAGGTTTTAAATATCATAACAACCCTCGGACGTGTTTTATCCTATACTTAAAACATGTAAATAAGCCATAGCAAACCGTAAACTGTACAGAAAATACAAAATTGTATCCAATCTCCTAGAAACAATACCAGTAGTGCCACAAGGCTCACCTGAATTTTTCCCGAATGTTTGCATTACATCAAAATATAAGGAAGGGTAAACAAGGCAATGCAAAAATAAGTAAAGTAGGTTCTTATACATAAAACAACACTATTCATAATTATCAATACTTTCAATCACACAAGTCATGTAAGTGATCTCAAAATACTTTATTATGACTGAGCAAGCTAGTATAGTTTCCCACAGCTTTTAGCAATATTCCAGCAATATCACTGCAGGGACACCAGAAATTGGCTTCGCACACAGTACCCATGTGGGGAATAGAACCTTGGGCTTTGGAGAACACATTACCCACTAGGCTACCCTACCACCCCAAATACAAAAGAAAGTAACATTAGGATTTCATACAATAGATATTTCCACCAAATATCAAGTCTTTATACAACTGATTGAATTACTAATTAGAGGAACAAATACATTTCAATGTAGCAGCTGAATCAGGCTTAATTTGAATCGTTCCTTGCTTCAGTTGCAATGGGAGCCACATTGGAAATAATTATCTTACTTATTATTGCTATTTAATACCTACCATTAATTGGACACACTGTAGACACTGATAAGAAATTCAACTGTTAAGAACAACCTGAACCATCAACTTAAAACTATGTTTATTACATTTAAGGGACCAGTCATGCACTGGTATGTTCTTATACATTTATTACACGACACACCCTAAAAAGACAAAATGCAAAGTACTTTATATTTTATTATCCATATTTCATAACCCTCCCCTAGAGATTTTGGGTGACCCTCCCTGTTTGTTCGGACCTTAACTGGGCTACTGGTAATATTCAGGAGTAAAATGATTATCATATTTTTATCATTTATCCTATCATTTTTGATAATTAACTTATAATCGTAGATTAAACGAGACTTACCTGTAAGTTGAAGGTTGATATAGATTATATGAAATAATCACAAGTAGGAGGGATCACGTGAGATAGCGAGAGCGAACCAGGCGTCAGACTTTAAAGCGTTTGAAACCCTGTAAATAGCAGGGTGGGTAACTGTATAAGTTCGGGAGGGCACGTGATCCCTCCTACTTGTGATTATTTCATATAATCTATATCAACCTTCAACTTACAGGTAAGTCTCGTTTAATCTACGATTATATTTCAACCAATCACGACGTAGATCGTGATCACGTGAGATGTTTAAAGCACAGGTGTTTCAAACAAAGAACAAATGCTGAATATAAGCTGACAGCTAGTTTAATTATAATATGCAAATATGAACAAATGAAACGTCCAAATTGGCAATCTCAAACAACCACTTGCCAGTCTATGTACTTCTACTTCCAAGTCCTTGGAATGTGACGAGTCTCCATGATTATATGTTTAATAGTTCAGCTGTTGTCGAGGATGGCCAATGCGAACGTATTGTCAGTCACTGGTTTGTTGTAGAACTTGGAGAAAGTCGCAGAACTACTCCACCCTGCCGTTTTCAGTATAGTCTGAAGCGGCACAGAATGTCGTAACGCGGCACTAGTCGACGCCATTCTTGTACTGTGTGGCGTGAACGTATTCATGTCTATGCCACTCAACTGAAGCACCTGCTTGATCCAGCGTGACACGGTATCTTTACTTACAGCCTTATGCGGCTGTGTGTAGCTAATGAAAAGCTGATTCTCACCGTTCCGCATGGGAGCTGTTCTGACAAGGTATTCCTGTAATACCCTAACGATACACAGACTACTGTTCGGCGTGTATGCCGGCAGAGTGATCTCCGCCTGATGCGACCCAGGTCTCGACTGTTTGATCAGGCTACCAACTCTGAACTTACAACAACTACTGAACAAGCTAATATCTCTAACATCTAATAGATGAACAGTTTGCAGTCTCTGCCCTGACAATAGCGCAATCAAAGTCACAGTTTTAAGTGTCAAATCTTTCAACGACAGTTCCTTCAAAGGCATCAATGTTTTAAGATAACCTAGAACAACACTGGTATCCCACGTCACTGAGTTTCTGGGCAGTGAGGGGCGAGTCTGAAAAACTCCCTTCATGAAGCGGTTAATGAGAGGATGAGATCCAATGGTGACGTTATCTGCTGATATAACACAGGACAGAGCGGATCTGGCTGTGTTAAGTGCACTGTAACCAAGGTTGTGTAACTCATAGAGTTCCGTCAGAAAATCTAACACCTCGGTCACAGATGGACACAGCGTATCAATTTCCCTTTGATTACAAAACGCAACCCATCTCTTGATGTATGTGGAGTACTGGTCTCTAGTGGATTTGCGCCAGGATTGGAGGATAACACTGGCAGCTCTGTCCGAAACTCCTCTCCGTGTAAGAGATAGCCTGATAAGGGAAACACTGCAAGTTTCATTCTGTCGAGAGAGTGTCTCGCCTCCTTGTTGTGTGGAAGGCGTAGGATCTGAGAGACTGGTGGTAGTATGACTGGTGGATGGATGAGGAGTCTGAGGAGTCTGGAGAACCATGGTTGTGTGGGCCACACTGGGGCCACTAGTAGTCCTCTGGCTTGGTCTTCTTCCACTTTCTTTATCACTGCATTCAGGATGCTGAAAGGCGGGAAAGCGTAGAAGTGAGTCTTCCATGCAAACGTAAAAGAGTCAATGGCACATGCATCTGGGTCTGGCTTCCAAGAAGCATATTTTTCAAGTCTAGTATTAAGTCTTGAGGCAAACAAATCTATGTCAGGTTTCCCAAATACCCTACATATTTCACTGAACACTTCATCAACGATGTACCACTCAGTATTGTCTTTCATTATTCTAGATTCTCGATCCGCAATCACATTGTCTTTACCCGGAACATGGCACGCACTTAACCACAAGTCTCGCTGCAGACCCCATAGCCAAGTGTCTCTTGCGAGGCTGTCAAGTGGTGGTTTCTTACCACCCATGTTGTTGATATAACTGACGGCCGTGGTATTGTCAATCATTAGTTTCACATGACAGCTGGATTCTAGGGAACAGAATGTCCGCAGTGTCAAGAAGGCCGCAAGTAACTCAAGGTAGTTTATATGTTTAACGGTTTCATCACGTGACCACCGGCCGCCGGTGGACTGTTTCCCGCGGGCCCCACCCCACCCGGTGTCTGACGCGTCTGAGGTCAGGGTAATTACCGGAGGTGCGACACTTATCGGCTTGCTACTTGTACACACATTATCTACCCACCATTGTAGATCAGCCGTTTGATCTGTGGTGACTTCTAATACCTTGTCAAAATTGCCTTTCGCGTTTCGAAGAGCGTGTGACTTGCCGTTGTCAAGGCGACGGAAGTTAAGGGGGCCTAATCGAACTCCGGGAAAGCACGCTACCATGTAACCAATCACCTCGGCTAGTTCCCGGATCGAACACAACTGTTTCTTGAGTAATGCTTCACAGGCTTGTTTCACGAACTGAGCTTTAGATGGAACTGGAGAAACGGTCATTGATGACGAGTTGATGACAAAACCAAGAAAAGTGATTTCCTGTGTAGGTGACAGTACCGATTTTTCAGGGTGTAAAACAAAGCCTAGTTTGGTGAACAAGACAGCAGTTTCCGAAACAAACGTTGAACATTCTTTCTTATCATCACCAACGATGAACGAATCATCAATGTATCCGACATTAGTATGTCCCCGTGTTCTCAGAAATGAAAACGGCACTCTAAGTAATTTTGTGAAGTATCTAGGAGCACAACTAAGTCCGTTTGGCAGAACAGTAAACTGGTATAGCTGACCTTGCCAGAAGAATTTAAGGTATTTCTGATGACTTGGATGAACAGGCACAGTGTAGTAGGCATCTTTCAAATCTATCGATGCCATGTAACAGTCCTTACGCACTAATGAGATAGCAGCTGTAAGGCTCTCCATCTTGAAATGGACATAGTCTACACTTCCATTTAGTTGCTTCAGATTCAGGATAAGTCTGTATGTCCCGTTTTTCTTAAGTCTAATGAAGATTGTGGATATGTATTCACCATGTTCACGACGTGATGGAACGATAACTCCCTTAGCTAAAAGTTTAGCGATTTCTCCACCTATGATGAAATGTTCTTGGGGTGAGAAGCTAATTTCTTTGGGAATATGCGACTGGACGGGCAACGAAGTAAAGTCTATGTAAGAACCAGTTACAGTCTGCAAGATAAACGGGTCTGAAGATAGTTCTTGCCAGCTCTGAACGTGAAATCGTAGTCTACCCGCAACAAATACATTGTTTGGTATATTGAAAGTGCTCACCTCTCTTGGGGTACCAGTTAGTGCCTCCCCCCTTCGAATTTCTTCTTGTGGAAGGGGCGACTCCTGTCTAAAAAACCCCTTCCTCCCACCGGGTTGCCATGGTTACGGCTGGTTGCATAAGAGGGAGTCTTGTATGCAGTAAACGGCTTGTGGTAGGGCGCCGGGCGCTGCTGACTGTAGGTGAGTTGTTGAGCCAATCTGTTGGTCATACTCATTGACTTGATCGTTTCCGCCAAGTTGTCTCCAAACAGCAGGGTAGACATAGGCGTCTGAGGTGAACACAACTGCTGGAATTGCTTATTGAGATGTGGTCTGATCATTTCCCGTCGGCGGTAGTTTAGCTCTGTGTTCACGTGAGCGAGCAGACTAATGGCATCAGTGGCCTGTTTCGCCAGTTGTTTGATGTCTAATTGCTGCACTGACATTTCCTTGTTCTTAACTTTTAGCAGGTCGCTGGCCAGGTGTAGCAATGGCACAGCTGCCCTAAGGACAGGAGCTTGGAGTTTCTGCATCTTTATGTCATTTGACCGTTCTTGTGATTTGAGCTTAGTCCAGATTTCTGGGTTGACTTTGCTCGTTTTCACCAACTCACAGTTGTGGGGAGACTTGTAAACTGAAAGTTTCTCTTTCAACTTTTCGTCAGGCATTTTCTTGAACATCATATTGTTCATTGCCTCTGCCAACTTTGGTTGTATAGGTGGGCCTAAGAGATCTTCGTTGGTATAATCCTGAAGCAGGGAGTCTAAGATATCACTACTTTCATCCATTTGCGTGGAGTCATCCGCTGTTCCCAGAGCACCTGCAGCCTCTTCAGCTGCCACCGCGCTAGAGTCGGCATCATCAAAGAGGTCTTCCATGGCGCCGTTCCCGCCACAGTCAGACAGCTCGTCGCTGGACTCATGGCCCATGGCGCTCCCCCCCTCCCCTCTTTCATCATATGGAGGACGGGTCACAGTTGCACTAGCAAGGCTGAGGGGTGGTGTCTGATTCACAAATGAAGCCATAGTGTCTCCAAGTTTGGAAATAGATGATGTCATACTGGATATCAGCTGCTGAGTGTTCATATTCTGTTGCATGACTTGGGCTAGAAGCCAGTCTTGACTCTCATTAGAGGGTGTAGTCGGGGACTTGCCGTTGGAGGCCTGGTTATCTGCCGAGTTACTAACCTCTTTGGCTTGTTTGGAACTGGATTTGGGTTGTTCCTTAGATGCCAGGGAGCGCTTTTTAGCGCTTTTAGGACGTGGCTTTTGACATCCTTCTCCACCTTTAGATGATGAAGCATTCATGTCATCCAAGATTTTGCCGAGTACATCATTAGCTCTGGGAGAGTGCTCCGCTGATTGCAGCATAGCGTCCGCCATCTTGGCTGGTACCCCCGTGGGGCTGTTGTTGATCACCTGTTCTGTTCTTGGTAAAGAACAGATGGATGTTGATGACCACTCAAACGGTAATTGTACACGCTGAGAGTAGATATTCCAGCTCAAACGGTAATTGTACACACTTTGAGCTAAAGGGCATAGATTAAGTCACTGAATTGTCAGAGCATAATCACCCTTGTCTTCTTCCTGCAAGGTTCGTTAACGCACTGACGCCTGGTTCGCTCTCGCTATCTCACGTGATCACGATCTACGTCGTGATTGGTTGAAATATAATGAAGATTAACAATATCAGGAAAAAGTGCCAAATATATTGGGCTGGCAAAGTGTAATCATAATTAAAGTAGTTATGGATTTGGGTCTTTTTAAGGGTAATTGTAAATATATGTGTATATTTCCTATTCGAATACCCATCTGAATGTTATAAAGTTTAACAGTATAGGATCTATCATCTTTGACTAAATATAGTGAAACCTAATTTTGCCATTATTGAATCATACCCTAAGTTCTTTATGCATTGTTATGCATCTGCACAGAGTGGTCAAAGTCCTTGTCTGACACATAGTTTGCTACAAGGGAGAATCCAATAAGTACAGTTGAGACATCAGCTTGTGTCCAGACAAACTGTCTAATAATTTACCAAGGGCGGCTTTGGTAGCATCAAGGGATGTAGCTAATCCTAAATAAACATTAAACAAGTGACATCATCTCTTCTACAGAACACATGACCGCCAGGCCATTTAGTGTTTGGTTGAAAAGGGTATGTCCGAAAAGGTGAGGCAACCTACATGTGTGTCGGGGGTAGGGTGGGGGGGTGGGGGGTGGGACTAAATGGAGTTTGTGTGTTTTTATAGGTTTAGAATTTTAGTGTTTATTGGCAACTTGTTTGTTGTACTTGTTTAAATGCAGCCAAGTAGGCCTGTTTTGATTAGATATATGCCTAGTGCTTTAAAGGTATGTAAGTCATTTAGGGGGTTTAGTACGGTGTCATCTGATTGTTGCAATTTAGTGTGGACTGGAGTGTTGTTTTGTGTTGCTGGTAATGTGTGCAATATAGTATTACGTGTTCATGCGTTTCTTTTAAGTTGCAGTGGGGGCATTCATGGGCGGATACAGCTTTTTAGAAAAGGGGGGGTGCACAATTAAGATCTATTTATTGTCTTTGGTTGTAGTTTATCCAGAAATAAAGATTTTTTTCGAAATATAAAGGGGAGGTGTGCACCCCCCCTCTGTATCCGCCCATGGCATTTATGGGTTTGGTGTATTATAATTTGGTGTAGGTGGGAGTTTAACTTAGTGTGGCCTGTTTGTTGTTTAGTTATTACTCTGTCAATTTTTTTTGTTTTATGATGGATTTTTGTTTTTTTTTAGAGGCTTTTGTAGCAGGTGTTTTAGTTTGCAATCAGATTTCTGATAGTTATTTTGCCAGTTTTGGAAGATTTTCTTCTTTGTGATACTTTTTATTTCGTTTTTTTTATATTGGTAGGTTGATGCTTACTTCTTCTAATTTTAGTGCTGATTTGGCTGCTTTGTCTGCGTGTTCGTTGCCAAACACTCCAACATGGACAGGGATCCAAACCATTCCTTTGTCTTTACGTAAACTAACCTAGTTTACGTAGATTGTTGGCGCTTTTAATTATCTGTTGTGTTAGTTTTGGGCGCTTTTTAGAGTTTTTTTTTTTATGGCCTGGAGCCCACTTAATGAGTCTGAAAGGATTAGTTTTTTTTGGTGCCTATTTATTTGATCGCTGTGCAGGGCTGTTACTTTCCCCATTAATTCAGCTGTGAAAATTGATTATTTGGGAGCCCGTAGGATTGTGTTTCTTTTTGGGGTTTGTTGATACGGATGCCGAATCCTGTGCGTTTGGAGCACTGTTTTGGTGCTGTGTTTCATTGTAAATCATTCAGGTTGTGTGTATTATGGTAATTTATTATGCGTTGAGAGATTGGTATTACCAAAGCCTGCCCCACCTTTGATGTTTATTATCTCACTATGCTCACAACAGCTCATTAGCAAGAAGGAACTCAATGTCAACTCATTGTGGATTAGGGATTCACAGTGTAATTAGTGTTGGGTGGGTATAAGCACTTGTAATTGTCTGTTAATTACTTACTTGAGTCGTGACAGCTTAATCAGTTTCCAACCACACTGACTGCTATGCTACTTGTCAAGTCAGTTTACTATGTAACATGTTTATGGGGACCAAGGAAATGTATCTTGCTGGATAATAGTTTTTTTCTACTTAAACAGTTCCACTTATGTGATATAAAATAATCATAGTTTTGATATGCATTTCACCCTACAAAGACATTTAACAATTGATATACATTACAAGTTTAGATTAACTGTACCTACTGTTGAAACTATCTTGTTTGATAGGCATTACTTAGAAGTTGACGGATGACAAGATAGACACAATTTTATGGATAACAACTTCTTTAATACTGTGAAAAGCGACGTTTCAGTATAGATCCTTATACCGTTGTCAAGCAAGACAAGTGGAACTGTTTAAGTAGAAAAAAACTATCTTGATGAATGAATGAGTTTAATCCGTAAAGGGGCCACCGGCCCATTATACAAGATACATTGGATTAGTCAGTTCACATGTACAGAGGGCGCTGATTATTACATCAGGGAACAGATTCACAAAAGCGCCTGCAAGCCACGAGCAAGCAGTAAACACTCATCGGAGTGCTGAGAAAAATGCACAAAAGGTTACTGAGGCCAGTCATAACCAACAAACGCGGATCGGGTCCCAACACATGTTACACACACTGGCAACAACCAGTTTCACATTGTTATAATGGCATAGTGCTACATAACAGGCACATCTTTAAGAAGAGTGTTCCTTTTCTTGAGAGCGAGAAATACGTACTTTGCAAATATTTTAGTTTATCCAGAGTTGGACTTATGCAATAATATTTAGGAAGTACCCGTTCCCTTAAATTTGAATAGAATGGACACTCGAGACAAAAGTGGAATTCAGTTTCTATATATATGATACTAGGGCTTCCACGAGTCCAAATGTTTGGACTCGAGTACCCGAGGGGTGAAACTCAACTCGTACTCGAGTACCCAAAAATAGGACGTCCTTTAAGAATATTGGTTCATTAGATCAAAATTGCCATCTAAATGTATTAAAACATGTTATACATATGTATAAGTATAAGTGAACTGCACTGAAATGTAAATAGAGAGCGAAATAGAGAACTTGTTTATCTGTCAAAGTGTATGGAAGTGTTCAGTGTTAATGTTTGCTTGTAACTGCACTAATCTTAATCATGACCTTCAAAAACATTACGTCACGTCTACAAATGCTACATTACATATTGAACACAAACCAAGTTTTGTCTGACGATCAGCGTTTCATTCGACACCTGCCAACAAGCACGAACAATAATTCGCAGGAAGAAAATCGATAATGTGCATCACGTGACATACACGTATACACAGCTGCAGCTGCTAAATATGGAAATGTAGTACTATAAGTTCATTCATTCATGAGTTGGTCACATTTTCTAACTGTACCAAACTGTTGACCTGTCGCTTGATTTGTAAGCACTGAAATAGCACATATATATCAGCTAATAAATTTTTAATCTGTGTAAGGGAATACACTTGGCATTCTCAATTGTTCTAATGTACATCTACTTTCTACAAAGAATACATTATTCAAACAATATTTTTTGAA